GTGGCTCACGGATTCAAACCTCTACTCCGAGTCTTCCTTCTAAGGGTCTGGCTCAGATAGACCGCCACACCTGAGTATGTCCACATGGGTGCCTCTCAGGTGTCTCAGAATAACTTGTTTACTACTGAGATTTTCCTCCCACAATCTGTCAAGCGTCCACTCCCAAGAATACCCCCACTTGGTATTTTTAGCTCTAGAAATGATCACCAAACATCCCCCGGGCCAGGAGGGAGCTGTGAGTGGGATCCTTGGCTGTGTCCAGAGGCACACTGCTGAAAACCCTTCACCATGGTTTAGATCAACCCTCATAGCAAAGGGTCTTCTCACTCCCCTTGACCTCCTTTCCACATCTCCTGTTTCTAGAACACCTCTGGCTTGACCTATTCTTCTCCCGGTAGCCTGATCTTTAATCCAGACCACTCTGGTTTTACATAAGTGCTAAGTCACTTTTCTCAGTGCAGCAGCAAAACACCTGACAAAGGAGTTTAAGAAAGGAAGGTATCGTTTCTGTGTCAGAGCCCAGGGGTCCCGTCCAGGACAGTGGGGAAGGCACTGCAGCCTGGATCTGAGGGAGCTGACTCACGCTGCATTGGAAGTCAAGAAGAGAGAAAGATGAAGGCTGGAACTCAATTCTTTCTTCCTATTGTTTGGCCTTCCCTTTCTATTTTCCTATGTGTACACGTTTATGTGTATGGGGATTCGCATGCATATGAAAATGAGCATGCACAGGGAAGACAGCATTTGAGGTTCCTCAACTGCTCTTCTACCTTGGCCTCTAGCCAGCTTGCTGTCGGGATATCTTGCATCCGCCGTCGGAGGCTGGAGTTACAGCAGAGCTGTTATGCTCACCTGGGATCCACATGGGTTCTGGAGATCTGAACTCTGGTCTTCTCCCTTACATGGCAGGCAATCGCTTTAATCGCTGAGCCATCTCCTCAACCTTTGCCAAAACTTTTTATTCTTAAGGTTTCACTGCATAGCCCTGGCTAGTTCAGAATTCACTGTGTAGACCAGGCTAACCTTGAATTTACAGAGAACTACCTGCCTCTGCTCTTCCATATTGGTGAGTCTTCCAGACTTGACTTACCATGTCTGTTCTCCTTTTGGGGTTCAAGGTAGAAGGGTAGACAAGGTCTCACTTTGTAACATGGGATGGCCTAGAACTCACTCTGTAGACCAGACTGGCCTCAAACTCTGACTCCCGCCTGTTTCTGCTCCCAGAGTATCAGGATTAAAGGTATATACACCATGCTGGACCTACTTTGTTGTTATTGTTTTGTTTTGTTTTGTTGTTTTGTTTTGTTTTGTTTTTTTGTTTTTGGTTTTCACACAGGGTTTTGTATGCATCGTAGGCTGGGCTTCAACTCACTAGATAGTCCAGACCAGTCTCACCCCCACCCCAACATCTGGCTTGATTTTATCTGAAAGTCCTTTGAAATTAATTTCTTCAAGTACATCCTGCTCTCTTATGAGCAAGTTATCCATAGTCTTTCTCTTCATGAAGTATTCTCTCAAGTCATGTTTGGCCTCTGGAGTTCTTTCCTTGCTCTGGAGATCCATTGGAATGTAGCTGCCATGGGGAGTTTTCTCTGAGGCTGAGGCATCCGAGCTACGGCACACCAGCACATCTCTTCTCACACAGCTTACAGTGCTTTGTATTAACCCCTCTGCATGCCTGTTTCCCTACTCCTGCACAGAATGTCTCTGGGCAAAGCAACACAGCTTCTTCACCATCGTATACCTGAAGGAGAGAATCAGCACATAAAAGAACACTGAAGACCAAATCTGAACCCTGTGTTGCCTGCTGTTCAACCCAAAACAAGTTATTTAATCTTTCTGACACATCCCTGCTTGCATTAAACACAAGTCTCCTCATGCTAAAAGACAAGATTCAGTTAGACGGGAATCAACACAGTCTTACTTTAAAGACTACTGCAGAGGTAAGGAGCATAGCTCAGGAGCAGAGAACACCTGCCCAGCACTGAAAAAGAGAGGGCTAAGCAAGTCTTTCGGGTACTTATCAGTCGCAGAGCGTAGAATACAGTCCTGGATTTTGTCACTGATCTGCCTCAGACTGAGTTTGACTCTTCAAAAAGGTGTGCTTTTATCAGTTCTCTCTCTTTTTAAAAAGTTACATTTTAAAATGTGTGTGTGTGTGTGTCTGTGTGTACACCCTAGGGCATGCTGTGGCATATTCATGGATGTCCAATGATAACGTGTGGGAGTTGGATTTCTTCTTTCCATTATTTGGGTCTCATGGATCAAGTTCTTGCCATCAGGTATGGTAGTAGGCACCTTTGCCTGCAGAACCATCTCGCTAACCCTCAGTTTCTCTCTCTAAATTTCTTCAGTATTTTAAAGACAATAAATGGCTGGGCAGGCAAAGCTGCTTCCTACCCAAGCTTGCTTAATCTGAGTTTTAGCTCTGGTTCCCATGGAAAGGTGGAAGGAGAGGACCAACTCCACCAAGTTGTCCTCTGACCACTGCACCTGCACGCTCAGACTCATGCAGTATACATGCACAGTAGTTTAATAAAACATGGAATGGGTTATAAGTTTGTATCTAATCCCTACACATGTGCCATGTTTATCATCTCTGCAATATTCTTGTTTTAGTAAATATGTGGCCCAAGAGAAAACGGTGGTTGTTGTTGTTGTTGGGTTTTATTTTATTTCGTGGCAGGGGAAGTGGTATACATGCTATGATGTGTGAGTGGAGTCGGGAGACAATATGTGGGGGTCCATTCCTGTCTTCTACTGTGTGGTTCTGGGGGTTTGAAGTCAAGTTGTCAATCTGGCAACAGGCAAGCATCTTTATCCTGAGCCATCTTGCTGGTCCTGTTGGTTTTTAGTAACAGGGTCTCACTCTATAGGCCAGGGTGTCCTCAAACACAATATCTTGTTCAGGCCAGCCCTGAACCTACAGCAAGTCTCCTTGCTCAGTCTCTTACATGCTGAGATTACAGGTGTGCAATACCATTTTCTGGGGAAAATTTTTTTGAGGCAAGGTATTACAGCTCAGGCTGTCCTCAAATTTACTGTGCAGCACAAGCTTCCTTAAATTCACAATGCTCTTCTCTCAAACTCCCAAATCCTGGCACTACAGGTACATACTACATGTGGCTCTTAAATATCTACTTTTTAAAGTTCATGTTGCCTGTACCTTCAATAGTCAACCTCACTACCTCTCCCCAAAAAAATATTATGTCACATTTCTCCAGACTTTCAATCTAGACAGACTGTTTTAGTTCTTGCTTTCTAGAAGACAGTGGCTCCAGGTATTCTCTGATGTAAGTGGTTCAGGTAAATTTCCTTCATTAAAATCTACTGTCTGTTAAAATATGTAACGAACAGTTGCAGGCTTTGGGGCTACAACACTTCTCAATGAACCTGGGCGAAGGGCTGAGGATTTAAATGAAGACAAAGACAGCAGCTCATTGTTGCAAGGAGAATGGCATTTAGTATAACAAGAGTGGAGCATTAAATACCAGTAGCAGGCACGATAGAAAACTACCAAGGTCAGGAGCTCACGTTCCCAGGGTCCACTGGCAAAGGATGGGCAGACAACAGGAACTTGAATTTAGACAATAAGGATGGGAAGAAAACAGGAACTTGCATTCAGGATTTACTGGGAAGAGGGGACAAGAGGTATTTTGCTAGAAGCTCCTAGTCACAACCTGGTCAGCAGAACCCCATGGGGGAAGGGTACAACAAAAATACACTATTTGGGCTGGCAGGATGGCTCAGTTGGTTAAGCTCCTGCCAAGCAAGCCTAATTACCTGAGTTGGATCTCCAAAATGAAGAGTGAAAGAACTGACTCCAAAACTTGTCCTCTGTCTTCCACACATGTTGACAATCACATTCACCTGTCTGCATATACATGTTACACACAGACAAGAATCAGAGCAATGGAAGTTTCTAAAATAGGTATGTACTGGTTGGGATGCAGCACTGGCCTAGCATTCGTGAGGTCCCGGTGACATCAGCCCATTGAAACAGCTATCTGCATCAGTTCCTTCCTTACATCTCCCGGCCCAGTCTAAGTCAGACCACCAGCCTGAAGACTTTGGGAGAAGTGAAACTTAGGGAAAGAGAATACTCTCATTATGACTTGTGACATCCTACTTTAACAGATAAATGTGTTTCTTTTCACCTTCTGCAATTTTTCTGTTAGGGGGTCTCTGGTTTGTGATCAGTACTTGGATTTTAATTCATTCTTTGGGCGATATAAGCTGTTATGAAAAAGCAGAACCACAGGCTATCCATCATGGTCAACATAGATGCATGCCTACTTACTTGCTTATAGATCAAAGTGGTTCCTGCAAAATAGTAACAACATTATGATCTAAGTTCTAAAATGAGAGGCCAGGCATGGTGGTGGCACATACCTTTAGTCCTAGGACTTAGGAGGCAGAGGCAGGCAGATATCTGAGTTTGAGGCCAGTCTAGTCTACATAGAGAATCCCAAGCTAGTCAGGGATACATAGAGAAGCCCTGTCTTGCTCTGTAGACCAGGTTAGCCTCAGACTCAAAGAGATTCCCCTGCTTCTGCCTCCTGAGTCCTGATATTAAAGGCATAAACTCCATTGCTTGGAGGTCTTGTCTCAAACAAAACATAACAAAACAAGATACAAAGTGAGTACAACATTCAGCAGAGCGCAGCAGTGCACAGCCTTGGAGGACACTCTGACACCCATGGGCTCTGAGCCAGCAGCTAGTCTGTCTCAGAAGCTTTTCTACACACTTGTCCAGAAAACATGCAAACAGTATAGAAGACAGGAGAAAAACTGTACATCAAATAATGATACCACCCCTTTGGATTTTTATTTCTCCTGCATTCGGAGTATCTGTAGTAAAGGAAATAATTTAACTAAGGAGGACCTAAAATTAGTCTTGTTTAGTCGCTGTTTGGTTTCCCTTTGGAGACTGGGCCTCAAATTCAAAAGCCTCTTACTTCAGCCTCCCAGATTCTGAGACTAGAGAGGGAAGCCATCCCAACTGGTTTTTAAATGCCTTTATTTATTAAGGTTACACAAATGAGCGATACCAGTGGTTTTCAAGTGATTATATGTCTGACTCCTGCAAATCTGTTGAAAGGTCTGGTTACATATGGCAGCCTTCACCCCAGAGCCAACCCATGAGCTTCTCCTCAGGACCTCCAGAACTGGAGTAGTGGAACCCGGTCACACATATTTCTTCCCAAAGCTCCAAAGGTGTTTCTGATTGTTTTTCCAATTGGCGTCATTCTGAGTATGGCATCTCCAAGGACCCAGGCCACGCTTACAAGTTCAGCAGAGGGCGCTCTTTCCACCTTCCAACTTCCTTGCTTGACAGGAATGGCAGGAGCAGAACAAAGGTGCAATTTTGCCTTTTTGGTCATCAGTTTAGCTAATCCTTTTGTGACTCTGACCAAAGCAAAACCCATAAAAGATATTACTTTTTTAAATTAATACTTTTTTTTCATTTCTGTGTGTATACTGTGCAGCAAGGGTCTGTAGATGGATGTGCCTGGGAACTGAACTCTGGTCCTCTAAAATACCAGGAAGCCTCTAAACCCCTGGGCCCCCTCTCTGCCCCACAAAAGGCAATCTAAGTCCCTTCCCACTTAAGCAAGATGATCACCTTCATATCTTCCCAAAGTCCAGCACTCTCAATCTGTGCTCGATGCTCATGAGAAGAGGTGGGAAACCAGACATGATAGCATATGTCAGATACCCTAGCACGCGACAGGCTGAAAGAAGATTACAAGTTCAAGAGCAGCCTGGGTACCTCAGGGAACTCCTATCTAAGACCTCTCTCAATAAAGAAAAACAAAGTGGAAAAAGGACAAGGGGCTAAGAAGAGCAGAAAGCTAGGGAAATGGTCCAGGCTTACACGGCAGAGAAACAGCAGGAAAAGGCTGATGGTTCACATGTCCGCATGGGCTTTCCACCCTGCAAGGTGTTTTCCACTAGGATGAAGATGGACAAAGGCTCTGTGAAGATACTTGAGCAAAAAGCCAAATTTTGCCAAGTAGGACTGCAAAAGAACAAATACATAGAGGAAATAATCAAGAAGATGAAGGAGTAATCTTGCATTCAATATTGCTAATATGAAGGAGGGTAAGATGTAATTCCCTATGACCAATGATATTGAAAACATGTCTTAGATTTTACCAGTGTTTCTAGATATGGTGGTGTATAGCTGTTATCCCAGTATTCAAGACACAGAGGCAGAAGAATAACCACAAATCCACAAAATTAAGACCAATCTGGTCTACATAGTAATTACAAAGTCAATTTGAGCTGCATGGTGGCCCCCTATCTCAAAAGAAAGCAAACCTGGGTGTGATGGCACTTGGGAGGCAGAGGCAGGTAGATCTCTCCGTGAGTTTGAGGCCAGTTTTATCTACAGAGAGAGTTCAAGGACAGCCAGGGTTACATAAGGAAACCCTGTCTCAAAAAAAGAAAGATAGATAGAAGGAAAGAAAGAAAGAAAGAAAGAAAGAAAGAAAGAAAGAAAGAAAGAAAGAAAAAGAAAATAAAAAATGACACATGCCTGTAATCTCAGCACTTGGGTTCAAAACCAGCCAGGGTTACATGAAAATTCCAAATCCATCTGTGTTATATGAAATCATTTTTTTAAGTTCTGAAAATTATGGGAGACTGATACTTTACAATACCTCTGGAGAATTTCTATAATATTTGTCCCAATAATGATTTTAATGGTCTCTCCATAATACCTCTAGTGATATTTTCACAGAATTGGGGTAGGGGAATGGGTCACTGTTGCAGACATAAACCACATCAAACAAGGTCAGGAAAAAAATAAGGACTGGTCACAGTAAGAAGAGAGACTATCTAGGCCCAAGGGTTTTATCATTATAGATAATTTGTATCTCTACGCTAAGGGGCTATGTGCAAATGTTTTATCACTGGTAATATCTTCTAATTAGTGTTCTATCTATGTTGATTTAATAGGTACCTCCTTGTGAAAGGCAGGATAGCAAAGCTACTTCCTGGCAAAAGTGCTGTGCCCTCTGAAGGTTGATTGTCTTTTAAGAATGCAGAAAACCTCTACCATGTTATAGCTCAGACAAATGTTTTCAGCGCTAGGAAATGGCAGGGAAGATTTAATGTTTCTGTGAAATCTCTGTAACTATCTCAAGCTGTAGGGTAGCATAATTCTTGAAGAGCAAAGTCAAGTGTGAAAGAAACAATGTCCTACACTGCAGTCAGGGAGAAAACCAAGAGGGTACCTAGTTTTTGTTGGGGATTGGCACTGTTACCAGGCAGTTCTCTGGTGGAGAGCAGCAGACAGGAAATGGCCTCCCCTCCATGAGTGAGGCTCAGGGATGGGACAACTGACAGACAGCAGATGCTCAGGCCAACCAAGCCAGTTCTTTGACACAGAATAGCATGGCCTGGAGCTTGTTCTATTAGCAGCTTCCCCTTTCCACCAGGAAGCAAGGAGTTAGTGGCATAGTACAAGCATTCTTATTTGTCATTTTAGAGAAACAGCAAAGGATTTGATAACAATCGACCGTTGTTAGAACAGTAAATTATCTTTTAAAAACCAGATTAGCTGAACCTATGGGGGGGGGATCTCAAGAATGCATAGTATGCATAAAAGCTGGCTCTGAATTGCTCCTACAGATGGACCCTAATGCCAGTAAACAAGTGATTATGCACATGAGAGCCTTCTTTTCCCAGAAATAGCTAAGGAAGGAGGCTTTCTTTAAACAACAAACCAAAAACTGAAAAAAAAAAATGCATACCTACAGACTTTCATAGTTTCACTTCATTTTGCTGATGAGATGTCACAGTAGCCACCAGGAATAATATATTTTCTTTTAAATTAACAAATGTCATGGTGGCTAAGGGTGGGTGTGGATACAGAGGAAGAACTTGGCAAGATAATGCTCAGAGCCTCTTGCAAAAGCAACTGCAACCCAAACACACTTCCAGATGGACAAGAACCACCTGCTGTGACAGAGAGGTTTTAAAAGAACCAAGGAGATGGCCTTAAAGTTGTTTTGACCAACTTTAATATAAATAAAGGAACTTACAGACATATTAGATATACACCATACTTTTAATCCCAGCACATTGGAAGATCTCTTTGAGTTTGAGGCCAGCCTGGTCTACATGGTGAGTTCCAGCCCAGCCAAGGTTATATAATGATACCCAGGAGGCAGGGGTGGGAGGCCAGGGGTATTTAAATATTTGTGGGGCTGGAGAGATGGCCAGAAAGTTAAGAATGCTTGCTGTTCCTCTCCTCTTGCAGAGAACCTGAGTTTTTCTCCTAGCTAGCATCCACAGTGACCAGCTCACATCAGCCTTTATGTAACTCCAGTTTCAAGGAATCCAATGCCTCATATGGACTCTGCAGGTACGTGCATGTACTTGGTGAATACAAATACACTCTGACCCACACGCATACATAAAAAGTACATACCGGGGATGGGGGGTGGGCACAGGAGGAGGGGAGGGAAAGGGAGAGGGACCTCGTACTGACTTGTGAAGCAACCTTGTTTCTTATCTAAATTTAAAATGGAAAATAAAAAAAATATTAATATAAAAAAAAAAAAAAAAAAGTACATACCAACATTAGATTTCCCATCCATTATTAAGCATAGAAAGACATATAATTGCCAGGCGTTGGTGGCACGCACCTTTAATCCCAGCACTTAGGAGGCAGAGGCAGGCAGAACTCTGTGAGTTTGAAACCACCCTGATCTACCAAGCGAGTTCCAGGACAGACTCCAAAACAATACAGAGAAACCCTGCCTTGAAAAAAAGAAAAAGAAAGACATATAATTATGTATATATTCCTACAGTTAGTTAACAAACACTCCTGGAAGTAGATGGCTTGCTACTGATAAGAGTAATAAGTACCCACACACATACTTAGAGTTTTAGTTAATCCTTATAATACTACTGAGTTTTATAGTGTTTAAAGGCTGAAAAAAAACCCCAATGCAGACAGCCATGTACCATGTTCAGGTTCATACTATAAAAGACTCAGGATTCAGAGAGACATGTAACATGAAGGGTTCGTACTATCAAAGGTCCAGGATTCAGAGAGTCATGTAACATGCTGGGTTCATACTATAAAAGACTCAGGATTCAGAGAGTCATGTAACATGAAGGGTTCATACTATCAAAGGTCCAGGATTCAGAGAGTCATGTAACATACCTGGGTTCATACTATAAAAGACTCAGGATTCAGAGAGTCATGTAACATACCTGGGTTCATACTATAAAAGACTCAGGATTCAGAGAGTCATGTAACATGCTGGGTTCATACTATAAAAGACTCAGGATTCAGAGAGTCATGTAACATGCTGGGTTCATACTATAAAAGACCCAGGATTCAGAGAGTCATGTAACATGCTGGGTTCATACTATAAAAGGTCCAGGATTCAGAGAGTCATGTAACATGAAGGGTTCATACTATAAAAGACCCAGGATTCAGAGAGTCATGTAACATGAAGGGTTCATACTATAAAAGACCCAGGATTCAGAGAGTCATGTAACATGCTGGGTTCATACTATAAAAGACTCAGGATTCAGAGAGTCATGTAACATGAAGGGTTCATACTATAAAAGACTCAGGATTCAGAGAGTCATGTAACATGAAGGGTTCATACTATCAAAGGTCCAGGATTCAGAGAGTCATGTAACATACCTGGGTTCATACTATAAAAGACTCAGGATTCAGAGAGTCATGTAACATGCTGGGTTCATACTATAAAAGACTCAGGATTCAGAGAGTCATGTAACATGAAGGGTTCATACTATCAAAGGTCCAGGATTCAGAGAGTCATGTAACATACCTGGGTTCATACTATAAAAGACTCAGGATTCAGAGAGTCATGTAACATACCTGGGTTCATACTATAAAAGACTCAGGATTCAGAGAGTCATGTAACATGCTGGGTTCATACTATAAAAGACTCAGGATTCAGAGAGTCATGTAACATGCTGGGTTCATACTATAAAAGACCCAGGATTCAGAGAGTCATGTAACATGCTGGGTTCATACTATAAAAGGTCCAGGATTCAGAGAGTCATGTAACATGAAGGGTTCATACTATAAAAGACCCAGGATTCAGAGAGTCATGTAACATGAAGGGTTCATACTATAAAAGACCCAGGATTCAGAGAGTCATGTAACATGCTGGGTTCATACTATAAAAGACTCAGGATTCAGAGAGTCATGTAACATGAAGGGTTCATACTATAAAAGACTCAGGATTCAGAGAGTCATGTAACATGAAGGGTTCATACTATAAAAGACTCAGGATTCAGAGAGTCATGTAACATGCTGGGTTCATACTATAAAAGACTCAGGATTCAGAGAGTCATGTAACATGAAGGGTTCATACTATAAAAGACTCAGGATTCAGAGAGTCATGTAACATGAAGGGTTCATACTATCAAAGGTCCAGGATTCAGAGAGTCATGTAACATACCTGGGTTCATACTATAAAAGACTCAGGATTCAGAGAGTCATGTAACATGAAGGGTTCATACTATAAAAGACTCAGGATTCAGAGAGTCATGTAACATGAAGGGTTCATACTATAAAAGACTCAGGATTCAGAGAGTCATGTAACATACCTGGGTTCATACTATAAAAGACTCAGGATTCAGAGAGTCATGTAACATGAAGGGTTCATACTATAAAAGACCCAGGATTCAGAGAGTCATGTAACATGAAGGGTTCATACTATCAAAGGTCCAGGATTCAGAGAGTCATGTAACATACCTGGGTTCATACTATAAAAGACTCAGGATTCAGAGAGTCATGTAACATGCTGGGTTCATACTATCAAAGGTCCAGGATTCAGAGAGTCATGTAACATACCTGGGTTCATACTATAAAAGGCCCAGGATTCAGAGAGTCATGTAACATGCTGGGTTCATACTATAAAAGGCCCAGGATTCAGAGAGTCATGTAACATGCTGGGTTCATACTATAAAAGACCCAGGATTCAGAGAGTCATGTAACATGCTGGGGTTCATACTATAAAAGGCCCAGGATTCAGAGAGTCATGTAACATGCTGGGGTTCATACTATAAAAGACCCAGGATTCAGAGAGTCATGTAACATGCTGGGTTCATACTATAAAAGGCCCAGGATTCAGAGAGTCATGTAACATGCTGGGGTCATACTATAAAAGGCCCAGGATTCAGAAAGTCATGTAACATGCTGGGTTCATACTATAAAAGGCCCAGGCAGAATTTCCTCTAGTCTGCTCAGCTCCTAAGCCCACACTTACAGCAACTGTGATATTATGCATTATATAATATATGCCATGGTCAGTACAGAGCTTCATATCCAGATTAAGATGAAAACAAATTACAGGGAATCTTCACTGATAATTGTGAGGATGTCAATGACACACCCTTGAACAGACAGAAAAGACAGAAATTTAACTTCACACAAAAGGCTTAAGGGAAGACAAACAATTTTGCTTGGTGCATATAAAGTCAGGGATCTGATTGTTTCTTTTCTCTCTCTCTTTTCTTCTGTTTACAATTAAGTAATTATTATCGTCACCATTCATAGCTTCCTGCCCTTTAAATCCCAATGTGCTGCTAGTCCTGCTCGGAGTCAGGTTCCTAGTAGGAAATGGAATGGATGACTGTGAAATGGGGTGCTGGGTGGGGGAATGCTACTGGGTCCTTTAAGACTAACTGGAGGCCATCCTCAGCACCAAGGGCTCATGACTGAACTAAGCTGAGGTACAGGAAGAAAGGGCGTGGGAGTCCTGTGTTCTCCACATGCTCTCTCGTAGGTACATGGGTGTGTGCACTCAACACTCAGGCACCCACATACGTTATTTTTAAAACAAGACTTCTTTTTTTTTTTTTTTTTTTTTTTTTTTGGTTTTTGGAGACAGGGTTTCTCTGTGGCTTTGGAGGCTGTCCTGGAACTAGCTCTTGTAGACCAGGCTGGCCTCGAACTCACAGAGATCCGCCTGCCTCTGCCTCCCGAGTGCTGGGATTAAAGGCGTGTGCCACCAATGCCCGGCAAAACAAGACTTCTTGTCTCTGTGTGTGTGCATGCATGTGTGTATCACAGCACAACTGTGGAGGCCATGTGACAATTTAGTTAAGTCAGCTCTTGCCTTCTACATCCATGAGGACTCTGGAGCTAGAATCCAGGTTGTACAACTTGTGTGGCAGACACCGTTACATGATTTCTCACACCTCCTGACCATCATGCAAAAAGCTCTAAGAGAGTCTGGCCTTGAAGATAATCCAAGGCAGAGGTCAGCAGAGGTGAGTCATAGGATCTGCTGCCTCCACTACCTGGGACAGGCTGTGCTCCAAGGGGGATGCTATTCCTTCCTACTCCTGAGGAGGTCTTGAACACACTCTTACTGTCAGTGCATTAGACATTAAATGCTGAATAGCCAGGGCAAGACCCCTGAACCGCTAAGGGAGTTCCAGGTTTCTAACTGCGTGTTTTGTTTTGAGACAAGGTCTCATACATCACAGACTGGTCTAGAATTCTGTTTGCCCATGTGTGTATGACCTTGGACAGATCATCTTTCCATTCCAAGCTCCTGGATGCTGATATCACAGGTGTGTCATCACGCCCAGTCTTGAACTTCGATGTATAGAGAAGGCAGAACATAGGGAAGGCCTGGAGATAACAGCAGGTGTGCCTAGATACTCCTCAGGTTCCAAAGCTGGCTCCCAGGGGCACTGTAGACATCTGCAGAGGCTATTGAGGCTGTCCCTGCCAAACCTTAGATCTGAAAATGACTCCGGTTTGGAGGCAGTCTGAACAGGAATAGCTCAGCTATTTTAGTCCTGGTCACTAGTAGGAAGTTTTGGATTTCCACATTAACTCAACGAACTCTTGGTGATGCCTGGTAAACAAATAAACAAAAAAGGGGGCCAGAGAGATCAGAGAGATGATTAATTGTTTAAGAACACTTGTTTGACAGGGTGGAGGGTGACACACGCTTTTAATCCATCCCAGCACTCAGGAGGCAGAGACAGGCAGATCTCTTGTTAGTTGAGAACAGCCTAGTCTACAGAGTGAATTCCAGGACAGACTCCAAAGCTACAAAGAAACCCTGTCTAGAAAAAGAAACAGAAAGAGAGAGAGAGAGAGAAACACTTGCTCTTGCAGAGGACCTAGGTTCAGTTCCTAGCAACCACATGGCAGCTCACAACCATCTATAACTCCAGTTTCCTAGAATCTGGCCCCTTCTTCTTGATTTCCTGCAGCATCAGGCACATACATGGTACACAGACATACACGCCAACAAAGCACTCATACAAATAAATGAAACTCACTCAGCAAGGTGATCTCTGAACTTGAGACCAGCCTGGTCTACATAGTGAGTTCCAGAATAGTTAGGGCTACACAGAGAAACTGTGTGTGTGTGGGGGGGGGGTGTGGGTGTGGGTGTGGGTGTGGGTGTGTGTGTGTGTTAGCTGGTACATACCTTTAATCCTAGCATTTGGGAAGCAGAGGCAAACTGATCTCTGGGAGTTCTAAGCCAGTATGGTTTACATAGTTCCTAATGAGCCAGGGCTACACAGTGAAACCCAGCCTCATAATATTACTAACAACATTATTATTATTAATTTAGAAATCAGGTGGAGCCCAGCTAAATGTTGATTACTGCCTTGTGAGATCATGCCTTGGTGATTGTTTCTAAAAGAAAGAAACATTGTTTCCTTAGAACTTACTTTAAGCATTCTTCTTGGTAACAATGTGACACACACAGTTCCCGGCTTTGCCTTTGCGGGTGTGTGTACATATACATGGGAACATTTTACAAAGAGGAAGTGTTTCCATTTCATAAAACTAAGAGAAGGTGTCACAGCTCTTTCTGGTTTTTTGAGACAATCTCACTACAAGGCCCAGCTGGGTTCAAACTCCCAGACATCTTACTGCCTCAGACTTCAAGGACTGGGATTACAGGTCCGATCTTTTTCTTTTCAAAATTTATGTTGTGCGTGTGTGAGTTAGTGAGTGAAAGAGAGTTGAGGGTTGTGTATTTATGCCACAGCACATGTGTGTAGGTAGGTCAGAGGATTACTTTTGTGTAATTTCTTTTGCCTTTACACAGGTGGGGGATCCAACTACTGCCCAAAGACTTGCAAGGCCACCGCCTTTAGACCCTGTAGGTAAGTTCCCACTACTCTGCCTTTTTCTTTTGAGTTGACTATGTGCCAAAGCTGACCCAGAACTCCCTGGGTCATTGTACTGGCATCAGCTTTAGAAAAAGTTGTAAGCACAGGTAAGTGCTTTTCTAAAAATCACACACACACACACACACACACACACACACACACACACACACACACACACACACACCCTTTAATGATGCTAAGGTTTTGACCGGGGCTCACCTTCAGAAGTTAATGATTACCAAAAGGGGTATTTAAATATATGCAAAACGACTCAGCAAGGAAAGAGAAAACTGCCCACAGAAATGCTGGTGTTCACAAGCCTTGAACTTCAGGGAAAATGGAGCGCTGCTAATTCGGAATTCAGCTTCCCACAGGCGGTTTCTTCATTACTTAACTGTACGAGTGGAAATTTGTGCAAAATAGAGGAACTTACGGGGGCGACTTTGAACATGAGAAACTGCAGGCTTACTTCTTTCGAGTGACAAGTAGGGGCCCAGAGACACAACTCCCCTTGGCTCGGCAAGACTGGCCCCCTCCACGGCCCACGTGGCCAAAGTAAACAGAAGGTGGGCCTGGGCGGGGAGAACCCCGGTGCCACCGATTTGCAGCCCTGAGGAGTCCTTAAAAGCACAGGCCCCTCAAGGGCTTTCCGGGCACGGTCTTGGAGAAATGGGGAGCGGCTTGGCTCGGCGACTGGGAAGGAAGGGAGGGTGGCAGGGCGTGGGGAAGAGTGGGGAGCGGTCCGGTGCGGCCGGGAGCGGGAGCACGGGGTCAGGGGCCTCCCCGGAGCGCGCGGGAGGGAGCAGAGTTTGCAAGTGCACCCCAGGTCCGCGGGGGGGACACAGGCGCCGAGGGCCCAGGCGCGCGGCGGGCGGACCGGGGGCTGCCGAGAGCCCGGGGCGGAGCGGAAAAGAGGAGGCCCCGAGCCCCCGGGAGGGAGGGAGGGAGGAAGCGAGCGAGCGAGCCAGCGAGCGTCCAGCCCCGGTCCCGCGTCCTCGCGACCGAGCGAGCGAGCGCACAGCCGGGACCCCGCCGCGCCCGCCCCCGCGAACGAGCGAGCGAGCGAGCGAGCGCACAGCCCGCGCCCGCGCCCGCGCCCGCGCCGCTCGCATGCCAGTCACGTCCGCCCCCTCGGCGGCCGCCCGCCCGAGAGCCGGCCCCGGCGAGCCGGGAGAACAGACGTCAAACTGCCTTATGAATATTGATGCGGAGGCGAGGCTGCTTTCGTAGAGGAGCAGAAGGAAGCAAGATGGCTGCCCTGTAGGATTTGTTAGAAAGGAGACCCGGCTGCGACGGCGGCGGACTGCGAGGCTGAGGGACCAGAACCAGGTCAGAGCGCCGCTGCCCGCGCCCGTCTCCCTCTCGCTCTCTCTCCCCCCTCGCTCCTTTCGGCAGCGGAGCTGTCCCTTTCCAAGCCCCCTCGCTCTCTCCCGGCCTTGCGGGGACTGTCATGTCACCCACAAATACCAAGAGGGAAGGGGGAGCCTCACAAATTACTGGAGCTTCTTCAACATGGCTGACAAATAGAGTTTTAATTTAGCAGCCCCCCCTCCGGCAACCTGCACTTCTGGGGTCCCTCCTTCCTGCTGATGAGTGTCCCCCTCCTTCCCCGGAAAACTTACCTTTGTACCTCCCACCAGCCGCTCTCCCGGCCTTTGAGTCTCAGGAAAGTGAGTGTTTTCTTGGGGCTGCCTTTCTCAAAGAGCTCATCTTGGGGGATCACCACTCTCTTCCCTTTGATCCTCCTCCCCCCCTGTCCTCAGTGTAAGTCAACCGAGTCCCTCGTTTATCCTCAGACAACCCGGAAAGAACACCGACCCGGTGTTTTTGACTCTTTTATCTCCAGTAGTATTTGTTTGGGTCCCGCTCTGGGTCTGTGTCTCCGGCTTCCAGCACGTTTGTCCCCCCGTGGACGACTACCCTAGACAAATGTCACAGTGAGTGGGTTCGGGATCCACTACGTGGAGTTTTCTTCTTCTTCTTCTCCTTTTCTTTTTTTCCTCTTGAGTCCGCGCGTTTTGTTAGTGGCGCTGAGTGAGAGAGGAAAGAATAGTTTCTCTGCGCCCCCCAAACAAGACCAGAACCCACTTTTCTCAGGGTTCACCAGCTCTGCGTGGGCTGTCCCCTCCAGTTGAGGAAATGTGTGTTAGAGAATCTGTGCAAATCTGTGTGTTGGCTTTGTGCTGCCCCCGAATCAGCTTCGTTCTGATCCCCGGTAAGTGACAGGCACACACAAAGGCAGGCCGAGGGAGGGGGCGGGAGACGCGTTCCGAGTTGGAGACTGCAAGGTCAGGGGCGCCCAAAGAAATGAAACCCAATCCCCGCAAAGATCTCTTACAGTCCCATCCCAAATTTCCTTAACTCTGGCATTCACTCTTTTTTTTTTTTTTTTTTTTGGTCTTTCACTGCCTCCCCTCCTCATACTCTTCACTCAAATCTTGACTCTCTCCAACAGAACTCCTTGCTTACTGTTAGAAAGCTGATAGGGTTTCTATGGAGAGTTTTCTGCTTATGGCCAAACCAAGTGTGGCCTGGACAGACTCCTGGGAAGGTCGAGTTAAAAAGACGTGTTACATGATGGTGAATGCCTTCATGATAGACTTTTGAGGGCTTTGAGAGATTTTTCTTTCTCCCGATTAATGATTTGGAATAGAAATAGGTTATTATTTGTGTGTGTGTGTGTGTGTGTGTGTGTGTGTGTGTGTTGTTTTGTTTTCCCCAAGTTGTTTGCTTAAAATTTAGGGAAATGTTTTAGTGTTTGCCTACCTGGGCAGCAGAATACATCCGTGGATTTAAAAAAAAAAAGTCAAAAAACTCACAAGTCACACACACTACTTTTGCTCTAATTAAGGATTATAATGACAAAACTTATACTCAGAAATACTCATAAGGATTAGATTGCATGTTAGGGGAAGTTGGGATTCACGGGGAAAATATATTGGTGTGGTTTAAGACTGTGGGCATTGTTGCCTGGCTAATGAAATCATTACATTTGCATTTTAATGGAAAGTTGAAATACTGAAGGCAAGTTAAGTTCTTCTCCATGTTTCTATGAGTGTTTTGTAATGCATCTTGAATTCAGTATACATTACAACATAAATATTAATCTTAAAAAATGTTATTAAGCAGTGCAGTGTTTGTAATGGATTGGGGTTAAACTCAAGATCAGGAGGGGTTGGTTTGATTACAAGGTAGAGGGCAAGGCACATAGCTGCACCACTCAAATCTCCAAACCCGCTCACCCTCAGCAATTCACTTCATAAGTTTTTCTGCTTTGGTTTTCAGAAACATGGCTAAGCTTGTTTTAAGCTTGGGCCTAGGGGCTCATCCACATGACCAGAAGGTAGAAACATTACTCATCACTGAACAGAAACAGTTCATTGGTTCTGATTTGCCCTAAAGTAATATCGAAATCACAGGTTTTTGTTTTTTTTTTTTTTTGTTTTTTGTTTCCCATAAATGCTTACTGCAGGTTAAGAAAACTATGGTCAGTTATGCCAGCAACCCAGAATTTAAAAAGAATAATTTTAGGCCGGACAGTGGGGGTGCTCACCTTTAGTCCCAGCACTCAGAGGCAGAGGCAGGTGATTTCTGTGAGTTTGAGGCTAGCCTGGTCTACAGAGTCAGTTCAGGACTGGCTTGAAAGCTACAAGAGAAAACCTGTCTCAAAAAAAAAAAGTAATTTTATTAGTAGTCTAGAGTGCGGTGACTTCTTTGGGAGCAGGTTTTCAGATCTGTCATCTTTTATGTCCTCAAACTACTCAAGAGTGTTTTCTATTCTAATCAATGAAAGTACTTAAATTGGTGGGTTTTTTTAATGTTATTACAGAGGCCTGCTCTTTCCTGTCTTGAAAATTTAGAATTTTGTTATTTTGTGCATCTTAATTTTATGCTGAAAGCATCTTCTAATTATGATTATTTTAAGGATTTTGGTGGAAATTTGTGTATTATTGAACACTCTAAGTAAAAAAAATAACACTTTTTCATTTCTTAGAGAAATTATTTAAGCAAACATGGGATAAAGATTGTACAACATCCTTTCTTTTACTGTATGTGTGGAAGTACCATCTAGATAATCTGAAAGTTCTTAAGAGCTAGCTGTCTTGTTTGATTTTACTTTAGAAAAAATATTAATAGCAAGATTGGTCATTTCTAAAAAAATGCATTGTTTTGTCTATTTGCATGTTGAACTAATGGAAGATTAACTTGGAATGAGACTTTGCTTTGTTTAAATTCACTTATTTGTCACATATTTTTAAGGCTTCCAGCAGATTTACTGTTGTTTGTGTCTGTCCTGCTAGGAGCCAGGGTGATGGTATGGTTTCATGGGGCAGCATATGGTCCTGTATACTGGCTCACCATCATTTCCAGAGCAAGTGTGCACACCTGCCTTGGGCTTCCTGTGATGACTTCCCCAGTCCTGATTGGCTGTTGTATTTGTGCATCATTTTGGTTTCACTTGTTGAAGCTAGAAATTCCCTGGTAATTGCTCTAAGCTCCACCCAGATCCTGTTGTAAGCCAAGGGCCACAGTTTCCTTGTTTGCTAGCCTCATCTGGAAACCCTTTTATAGGAATCACAGACACATCTGAAAGACAGTCTATTTTCCATCACTACCTAAACACATTAGTCAACTTTTATGAAATAATCATCAAATAAGGTGTCTTAGCAAAATGTTTGAGCTGGGTATGGTGTGTCAAGTCTTTAATCTTAGCAGGCTGAGGCAGGAAGATTGCTAAAAACTTTGAACCAACTTGGGTTCACGATGATATTTGATATGAAATGTCAGCATTTTAGGATATCTGGAATGTTATATTAGATGATGATATTATGCTATAATTGCTTGTTACTTTTCAATTGTTATTTTTAACAATTGTTGCTTTTTGTATATGAGTGTTTATTTGCATGTGTGTGTGCACTGTGTGCAGGCTTGGGGCCTTTGGAGGCCAGAAAAGAGGATATTGAATCCATGGATCTGGGGTTAGCTAGCTGTGAGCTGCCATGTGGGTGCTGTTTGGAACCCAGACCTCTGCTAAGAGCAGTGTTCTTCACTGCTGAGCCATCTCTCCATTCCCACATCTCCCAATCTTATGCAGCTTATTGCTAGAATGGGACAGTGTTGATTCATTGAAATCATACTTCCTGGAGGATTATTCCACCATTGAATAATAATTCCTGGGGGGCAGCAACAGTACCAAAACCAGCAGCAGGAAATGTCTCCTAAGCCAACTTTACAGTTGGAGCCTTAGCTGTGGGAGAGTCCAGTTGCCAAGCAGAGCTGGTGGTTATCCTGGCAACTGTGCTAAAGAACATAACCACAGTGATTTTTGCCAAACACACAGTATTTACATGGGTCTAGTGCTCTGGTTTCTATTACAGTTTACTGCCAAAACTTAGTGAATACTGTGGCATCATTGAATGGGGTTATACAGTGCATCTGTTGGTATATGTAGGGCTCTAGCAGGGGAGGAGTGCAGTCAGAGCGTATGTATGTATCACAATGACCACAAGCAGAAGAAACGGATGCACTTTACAATTGCCCGTTTCCAACAGAATTCCGAATATGGAATGGACAGTGCAGAAGACTCCAGGCTTAAGATAGATATATCATCTTTCTCCATGAAATTGTCCTTGAGTTTCTACTTCCAGTGTAGCAAATTCTCACTTTTGACTTTCCCTATTTGTTATAAATGGTGTTTAAGGTGCCCAACCGGGTGGTGGTGATGCATGCTTTAAGCCCAACACTCAGGAGGCAGAGACAGAAGGATCTCTGTGAGTTCAAGGCCAGTCTGGTCTACATAGCAAGTTCCAGGACAGACTACACAGCTACCAAGAAGCCCTGTCTCAAAAAACAAAACACAACACAACAAAACAAAAGAACACTTTGCTAAATCATGAGGACTGGAGTTTGAATCCTAGCACCTAATTGGGTGACTTACAAATACCTTTAATTACAAATCCAAGGATTCTAACACCCTACTTCAACCTCTGCAGACACCCGAACACACACAAACAAATCTTAGGCAGGACATGGCAGTGTATGCCTTTATTTTGTTTATTTTTATGTGTATTTCTGTTTGTAGTGCACTATCTTCCTGCAGTGCCAGTAGAAGGCCAGGAGAGGGCATCATAAAATCCCTTGAAACTGGAGTTACAGAGGATCCTTAATCCACAAAGGGAACTGATCCCGGTTCTGGAAGAGCAGTCAGTGCTCTTAACTTCTGGGCCATCTCTTCCTCTCTGGTTTGAGACAGGTCTTGCTATGGAGTCCTGGATGGCCTGTGCAACCCCAGGCTGGCCCAGACTTGCTGTAGCCCTCTTGACTCTATCTTCTGATTGCCTTAGCCTGCCTATCTAAGAAACTCAGGGCTTTAAGCTTTCCAAAGATAGTTGTTCAAAACTGATGTGAAATCATATTCTAAATAGTCTCAGAATTAAAATCAGAGATGAATAAACTGGGATGAAGTATTTTGGGGGAATAATTTCGAGCATAAAATAAATTTGTTGTACCAAAAATACTGCAAATGTTTCTTTTAAATTAGATTTCTTTCTGCCTGTTGAAAACTTGCTGATTTCTATATGTTTTCATTCACTAACAGAATCTAGTAAAAACTTTTTTTAACTAGAACATGTGTCTTCTGTACTCAACGCATAGTAGAAAAATAGTGTAAGAGGCCTTGGTGATGGGCATGGTGGTAGGAAGTGATGCTACTTTTCCTTAATGTAATTTCTGCAGGAAATAGTAATGGCTAAAGTCGCCCATCTTCAGCATAGGACTTAGTGGCTTTTAACACATGTATGCTGGAATTAATTTAATCTTAATTGAAACTTCTATTCAAATAGTTGTAGAAGCTATGCAATTATATGAAATAATGTAGACAGAGCCTGTTTACACCATCTGGTCTCCTCTAGTGGTAATATTTTTGGCTCTTGTTTGTGATATAGGTTTGCTTGTTGGGGATTTGTTGTTTTCAAGATAGAGCCATTCTCTGTGCCCCACTCTGGCATCAAACTCACGGCAATCCTCCTGCCTTAGCCTCTGTAGTGCTGTGATTACAAGCATGATCTAGCAATCCAATTCTTTTTTTTTTTTGAGACAGAGTCCTGCTATGTAGTCCAGGATGGTCTAGAACTTTGCTTCCTTCTACTTCAGCCTTCTGTGTGTTTCAATTTCCGA